CAGACAGACCATTTTTCTCTTCTGGCCTTGAAATAGGTTGGATGAGGCCAGCCCGCATTATGGTGGTTTTACTTGCTTTACCAAAAGTCTACTAGATTGAATGTTAATCTCATCTAGAAAATACTGTCACAGAAACATCTGGATGGGTATTTGAGCAAGGATACTGGAGATGGGATCTTTGGCTTGGAAATGATAGAAATGAGACCAGCCAAGTTTGGGGAGCACACACAGGCAAGAGTTTGGGCTCCAGCCAAGTGGAGTAATTGGCACTTCAGCTGAAGGGTGACAGCACTGACCAATGGACCAGGGTGCTCTCTAAAAAAAGGGAGATGCAAGGTTTTATTGATTTGCTTGGGTGGGCTAATGTCTGGTCATTTTCCACAGGCCAGAGGCATAGTTCCAAAAGATGCTTCCTGTGAGGGATTCGAAACACTGAGTAATCACAAGCAACTTGTCCCCGGAACTGTTGAGTTACTCTTGGGACTGACTCTATCATCCTGCGATGGGGCTGAAGGACTGAGGCTGCTACAGCTGCTGAAAGAGCAGAGGGTGGGGCAGAAGGAGAAGACAAATCAGCTCCAAAGGGCAAGTGACATGTCCACGTGCAGGGTAGACTCTACCCTGCAAGTTAAGGCAGCAAATTATGAAAACAGAGATGCCATTTCCGTCACCTATCAGACACCTGCAGGCCCAAGAGTCAATGTTTTCAGCAAAATCGGCCTCCAAGTCCCTCTGCAAATTAACCTAGGCAACCCTGTCATCACAACCCACACATCAGAGTTGTGACCTACAGCAAAGCCAATGGGAGACTACTATATTGCCCAGCTGTATGATTTTAGTCGGGGAGGGGGGTGGGGGAGTGCTAGGTGTTGAACCTAGGCATCTGGCCTGCTTGGCAAATGTTCCACTGCTGAGCCACATCCCCAGCCCCCCAGCTTAGCGCTTTTTAAATTGACCGTGAGTGAAGCTGGAGGGCTTAAGTGTTTCTTGGTAGCAATTTCATCCTTCTGTGGTTTTAAATGGTTTCATGATGGGTTTGTTGAATGAACACAGAGGCAGGAAGAGAAAAACATGCCATGCCTCAAAGGATAATAGTTCACTTCACCTGGGGTTTTATTTTATTGTCTCAGCCTTTATTTTTATATATATATATATATATATATATTTTTTTTTTTTTTTTTTTTTTAGTTGTTGATGGACCTTTGTTTATTCATTTATTTATATGTGGTGCTCACAATCGAACCCAGTGCCTCACTCAAGCTAGGCAAGTGCTCTACCGCAGAGCCACATCCCCAGCCCCTGTCCTAGCCTTTTGTCTCACTGTGGTGGTCCCTCACTATCTCAGTGTGGCCCAGCCAACTTAACACATAAGAACTCCCAGCACAGAATATTTAGGACTGTGATGCATGCTCCCTGAATACGGGGGCCTGTGGATGGAGCTCCCGGGTTTCTCATTGGTGAGTCGGGGTTTCCTTACCTATCAATAGTATCTGTCCCATATAGGTAACAAAACCAGCCAAGGCCACAAGGAAAAAACAGAAGGCTTGCCATGTGCCAGGAACTAGCAGTTAGTGTACTTTTTTTTTGGTGGTGGTATTGAGGATTGAACCTAGAGGTGCTTTGCCATTGAGCTACATTCCCAGCATTTTTATTTTTTATTTAGAGACAGGGTCTTGCTAAGTTGCCTAGGCTGGACTTGGACTTGTGATCTTCCTGCCTCAACCTCCTGAGTGGCTGGAATTACAGGTGTGTCCCACCATGCCTGGCTATCCATTTCTTTTAAGGAGAGGCATAGAGAGGACAAATGACATGTCCAAGGACACCCAGTGCTATGGTCCAAATGTTTGAGTTTTCCTCAGATTCCCTCCTATGTTGAAATCCTAACCCTGATGTTGACTCAGATGTCCTTGAGCAGTGAAGCCTCCGGAGGGAAAGGAATGGATGCAAACCCGGTTGAGACATAGGACAGTGGGGACGAATGGGACATTGGAGTAGGGAATCTCATCATTGACCTGGACACCGACCTGGGAAAGGACCAGCAGAAACTGGAAATGTCTGGCTCATAGGAGGTGGGGATGCCAGCTCCCAATGCTGTGGCCACACGACCAGACAGCGTCAAGTTGTGGCCCCAGTGCCAGGTCCTCAAGGGAAGGAAGGCAAATCAAAATCCAAAAGGAATAAGAGTGAAAAGACACTAGCAAACCCACTCAGGGACTTCCTGTTCACTCCAAGTGAGGGGGCAGCTATCAAGAAAGAGGTGCAGGGGCGCTCGGGAGGTGGTGCCAGTGCAGGAGGCCTGGTTGCTGCTATTGCTCCCAAGGGCTCAGAGAAGGCCGGTAAGGCATCCCGCAGTGTAGCCGGCTCCAAAAAGGAGAGGAGACAGCTCGTCTAAGAGCAAGAAGGAGAGAAGCCAAGGAGTGGGGACTTGTTCAGAAAAGGATCCTGGGGTCCTCCAGCCGGTTCCCTTGGGAGGACGGGGTGGTCAGTGTGATGGAAGTACAGGAGCTGTGGAGCCACTTGGGAGTATAGCTGTTGAGCCTGGGGCAGCGCTCAATCCTTTGGGAACTAAACCAGAGCCAGAGGAAGGGGAGAATGAGTGTGGCCCGCCAAGGAAAGTCAAGTCTGAAAAGGTAAGAGGTGGCCGGATCTGGCTGCCCACTGCAGTCAAAACTGCCCTGGACTAACTGCCAAATGCTGTGTGCACTCTGTTGGAGGCTTATTAGTTTGTAGGTAATGACCAATTACAAGGTCAGAGCAGCTGGTAATGATAATGTGGTTTTGTTCCAAATTAGAGGATTCCCTATAGGCTCATTTACAGCAAGCCCGGACATTTTGGAATAGGATATCTGTTCTTAGAATTCTACTTGGTAGAATGAATTTTCTCACACCTTGTTATTGTTCCATCTTGGACACTTGTTGCTAGAGGCTGGCACCAAACTTTTATGTGGTTTCCAGCTTGAATGACATTTCATTATTATAGAGTTATAATAGTTGATAAACTTAATTAGCTTTTGGTTACATGTATAGGACTGTTCTTAATGGAATAAATGGTGGTGTTGTGTTTCTGGAAGAACTAAAAGATTGATTAAGCTTCATGGCTTATCTACCAAGTGTTCTATTGTGGCTACCAAAGAGCATAAGGACACAGTTTCTGGTCTGGTAAACAAGGGGACAGGAGGTCCTGACTATACTATGAAATACTCATAAATCAGGCTTTATGAGTTACTGTTGTGGCTATGAAAGTTTGGCCTAGAAAGAATTTTTGGTCACTAAAAGAGAATCTCTTTGTCAGGTACCTCCTGCAACTATTGGGAATCAGTGACCTGGTGGTTTTGTAGCTGCCCAATAGTATAATGATACCTTGTCTTTTGCTTGACTTAAAAGGATAGGTGCCTGCAGCCCCAGGATTTTTTAAGATTGAGTCGCTCCTTTGAGAAGATGATCTTAGTTGATATCTCAGTAAAATTCTTAGTGAATGTCTCTCAGGGCTAGAGAAGAATAGGTATACATATGGGGCCAATTCAGGCTGCCTTAAATTTGAGCAATTTACAGTTTCCTACAAAGCAGGACTGGTGATGAAGCTTTTATCGGCTCTTGATTTTCTGCTCTGTGTTCTGCTCACCCTGTGCTTTTAGCTGATCCCAGCAGATGCAGTATCAATTGATTTCTCTGTAATCAATCAGCTACAGCAGGGAATACCTATTTCCATATGTAAGTGTTAATAAATAAAGGCTGGATGTGCAAAAAAAAAAAAAAAAAGGTTAGGCACAAGGGGCTGGGGTTGGGGCTCAGCGGTAGAGAGCTCACCTAGCACTGTGAGGCCCTGGGTTCGATCCTCAGCACCACATAAAAATAAATAAATAAAAATATTGTGTCCAACTACAACTAAAAAAATATTTAAAAAAGAGGCACAGTGGTATATGCCTATAATCATGGCTATTTAGGAATCTTAGAAGGAAGGATTTCAAGTTCAAGTTCAGTCTGGATAACTTTTTTTTTTTTAATTGGTTGTTCAAAACATTACAAAGCTCTTGACATATCATCTTTCATACATTTGATTCAAGTGGGTTATGAACTCCCATTTTTACCCCAAATACAGATTGCAGAATCACATCGGTTACACAGTCTGGATAACTTTTTGAGACCCTGTCAAAAAATTAAAAATAAGAAGGGCTGGGCACAATGGTGCATGCCTTTTTATCCCAGTGACTCGAGAGGCTGAGGCAGGAGGATCACAAGTTGAGGTCAACCTCAGATATTTAGCAAGGACTTAAACAACTTAGTATTTAAAATACAATATAAAACAAATACAATAATATAAAAAGGGCTGGGGATGTGGCTCAGTGGCTGAGCACCCCTGGGGTCAATCCCTGCTACCCAAAACAAAACAACAAAAAAAGGAACTGGGGATGTAACTCAGTGGTAGTATCTCTGGGTTCAATCCCTAGTGCAAAAAAAAAAAAAAAAAAAAATTGTGTAAGAGCTGGGCACAGTTGTGCACATCTGTAAACCCAGCTACTTGGGAAGCAGACCACAAGTTCAAGACAAGCCTAGGAAATTCAGTGAGAGCTTGTCTCAAAACAGAAAAATTTTAGAAAGGGAGCTCTGTGGTAGAGTGCCCTGGGTTCAATCCCCTGTACTGGGGGTAGGGGGAGACTGTAAGAAATGAATAGGAGGGTGTGGGGAGCCATTCTCACACGTGATTGGGCAACTCCCGGATTGGGTGTGAGGCGCTCTGGCTAAACTGTGTCGGAGCTTTCCCGACCCTCTCCTGGTACGAGAGCCTGTCCGTGTGGGGGTGTGACTGACCACTGACCCTGGGGCCAATCACTGACCCTGACCTTGGAGTGCTGCCCCCCTCAACCGTCATTGGATGGAATTCTCCCCTGAATTTCTTGTTCCCCAATAAAAGGCCACTCCCTGGCGTGCTCGCTCTCTCTCTCCTCTCTCTCCTGCTAGCCCTGAGTAATCCCTGCTGCCCTACGGGTGGTTCGAGGTTGGAGCCAGAGGGAGAGCTGTCTTGGACCTGGTCATAGAAAAAGGTAATTGAGTCTGTGTGTTTATTTTGATCTCACTAGCTAACTTTTATGCCAAGAACCTCTTTAATGAAACCAGTGTGCTGGTCGCATGGTAGAAGGAGGGCATGGGTTTGATCCCTAATAGTGAAAAAAAATGAGCAAAGGAAGATGTATATACTTGTATATAAGTATTTCATTATATTATATATATATATATATATATATATATATACATACATATATTGAATATATATGTATTCATTATATATATAATGAATAACCCAGAAACTCAGACATTTTTTTTTTTTTTTTTTTTTTTTGTGTGTGTGTGTGTGTATGCTGGGGACCTGAGACACAAGGACATAACCTTTCCCAAGAGCTGTTTTTTATATTCTTTTTTCTTCTGGTTTCTCTAAACACCTCATAGCCCTGCTTCCAGGAGACTCTGCTACAGTGGAGGCTACAACAGATTCCCCGTGACTGCTCTGGGAGACTGCTTCAGTTTTACTGGCTTCGGACCTCCCCTAGGCTCTCCAGGTGGCTCTGTCTCATAACCTGTCAGGATGACTTCTCTGCAACTGTTTTAGATGTCTCCAGTTCTTGAGAAACTCCTCCCACGACTAAGCAGTAAGTCTGCAGTTAGCTGGGGAGACACTGCACTGTACAAGCCCACCCTTTCCGTCTGTACGAGCAGCTCCCGCTCACCGTATCGGTTCAGCCCATGTGCTGTTTCTCCATATACTGCAACATAAAGCTTGATAAAGACTCTTTCTGATAGTTTTATTTTGCCTGTTGTGATGTCTCTTTCGAGCAGAGCAGTCTAAGCTGATTGCACTTAGAGCTGGTAACACCAAGTGGCTACCACCAGGTTGTCAGCAGCCAGATCTGATAACACCAAAGATTCAGTCATTCCTGAGAGTGACTAGCAGCCAGAGAGCTTCGAAGAACTGCAGGAAAAGCTTCTAGAAGGGCTGCTATCCCGAGGAGGAGGACAACTCAAACAGCAATGGGGAGAGCTGCTAACACTAAGAGCTGAGAACTGCTGGCCCTCAAAGCACAGAGCTGTTAACACCAAGGGAGCTGCATTTTGCTTACTAGTGATTTCTATCTTAATTGAGCAAGTAGCCTATTGGTAACAGTGAGCCCAGGGCCACATGCATGCTGAACATAGTACCACTGAACTGCTTCCAGAGCTACAGTTGATATTTTAACCAAGTGGGGATTGAACCCAGGGCCTCATACATGCTGGGCAAGTCCTCTGACCCTGAGCTACATCCTCAGCCCTGCAGTTTGCTTCTTTCCTTTAGCAACAGGCATGACCATATCTCTATACCTGTCCATCATGCCTGGGCACTCTTTCCTCCAGACTTCATGGTGGGGGCCAGAGGGAGAGGCCTTTTTTGAGAAAGCATTTAGCTCTACCTAAGCCCTGGCCTCTTCCCTCCTTGGATTATCCCTTCCCATTGAGCAAATTACCATTTGCTCAATGAGATGACTTTCCCAAAGGCCTGGGCTCCAGCCATTTTATTCAACATGTGAACTGAAGTTCTCTGAAGAAAGCCTCATCTGTATAGATCCTTCAGACTGAGCTTGACTGACCCAAATGTGGTGACTGGGGAAAGATGGAATAGTGCAAATCAAGATTCAGTGTTATCTTGGGGTATATTTACTTCCTTTCAATAGCCCTTTACTTTTAACCTCTGTATTTGGCCTAACATCCTGTGACTACAAGGTAAAACTCTTGACATGTATAGCTTAACCTGACCTCTAGCCTTCACCAACCTCCAATACTGCAAAAGACAAACAAACAAAAAATAGTGGTGTTGTTTTACTTTTTTGTTGTTGTTGTTTTGTTTTGTTTTTGTTTTTGGTACTAGGTCTCAAACCCAGGGACGCTTAACCACTGAGCCCAAGCTCCAGCCCTTTTTTATGTTTTGTTATGAGAAAGGGTCTTGCTAAGTTGCTGAGACTGGCCTTGAACTTGTGATCATCCTGCCTCAGCCTTCCAAGTCGCTGGGATTATAGGCATGTACCGCTGCACCCAGCTAGTTGTTGTTTTATTTTGACAAACATCATTCAACAAATATTTATTTAGCAATTACTGTTTGTCATCATATGGACCAGAGATACATCATCAAATAATGTAGGGACTAGGGAGGATAACAATGTTAAATAGGATCAGGAAAAGTTCCTTGTACAACCACCTGAAGGAGATGAGGGCCAGAGCCAGGATGTACCTCACCAAGTATGCCTGGTTTACCAAGTGGAGCTACACTGTCTACTGATCACCTTGATCATCTGTGAACGAGAACCACCTGGAAGGCCTTTATACCTGAAAGACAAGTAAGTGTTGGGGATTCTCACAGAACCCCTTGCAACAGGCCTGGGACACCAGCTCTCATCCTCTGACTCAGAAGCCACTAGGCCTGTGGACCTGTTTCCTCCTTTATTCATTTGACTTAATCTCATCCCAGGGTTCAGAACCTGGTCGACCAATATTTGTTCCTTCAGACTAGCCAGACTCTTTGGGCCCCTTCTGTGTCATCTCACACTAGTGACTATCCCATATTTTCTTGGAAAGCCGGGCCAATGGCCAATGGCCAATAGCCAGTGTTGTAAATATATTGTCAGTTGTCCCCAGGGCTCAGCATCAGCCCAGGGCCAGGGCTGATTTGGCAGTCAGCAAATCACTTGACCAGAAGAAAGGGTGATGGCATTGTTATTAGTAACAAGAGCTGTCATTAACCTTGGGCTTCTGATGTGTGCTATGAGTTTGACGTTTGTCATGTCAGTTACTCCCTCTGTCTCCAGGACAGAAGAGGAGATTAACTTCTGTGTAACCTGCACAACTCCTGCTTCTGTGCCTGGGGGTGACACTGCCCAACCATGGGTCACCCAGACCCTTGGCTAGGCTGACCCCGTGAGCAAGTGCCTGCTCTCCTTAATCATGGCCTCCTTATCTTGATCCTGGCCCAGCCCATGCAGACCCAGCTCTGCCCTGGACATCCTCTCAGCCAGATTTTTCTACTAAGGCTTTGAAGTAGGGTGGGGGATACACAATCCAATCCCATCTATATGTGGCTGTAATATAGGAGGCATATAGATGTGTTCCTAAATATAGAAAATTCAGAATAAAATCAAGCAATACTTAGGTGGATCTAGTCCACTGGAAAGGAGACCAGGGTGGGGAGGAGGGACTTTGTTAATCTGTTAGTGCCTGGAACTCAGGGGGTTGTTGTGTGACCCTGTCTGGAATCCATATTGGCAGAGATGATAAAATGGGCCGCAGGGTGCCCACTTGATCTCAGGAGGAGCATCTCCTCGGTTATGGCCAAAATATCAGTCTACATGCAGCCTGTTTTGGGGAAAAACCTTCCCAAATCAATTGGTATAGCAAAATGTTTTCCTTAGCCAGTGTTTTGAACCCTGAGAACGCAAGAATTTAACAATGATTGTTAATAGGCACCAAATAAGCTGGGTGAGGTGGCACAGCTTGTAATTCCAACACTCAGGAAGCTGAGATGGGATGATTGCTTGAGCCCAGGAATTCCAGACCAGCTACCTGGGCAACACAGTGAGACCCCATCTCAAAAAATAAGTAAATAAATTTTTTTTTAAAAAAGAGAGAGAGAGAGAATTTTTTAATATTTATTTTTCAGTTATCGGTGGATACAACATCTTTATTTGTATGTGGTGTTGAGGATCGAATCCAGCGCCCTGCATATGCCAGGCAAGCACGCTACTGCTTGAGCCACATCCCCAGCCCTAAATAAACTTTTTAAAATACCAAATGGATAAGCAACGTGAGATTTATAAAGGGAGCTTCAAAATTTGAGTTAAGGCTATCTTGGGACTGCAGAGTGATGGAGGCTGAGGAAACTGGAAACCCAGACCCCGGAGTTTGCAGCTGGGTCTGTGCCTGTCTGAGCCTAGGAAACCTGTGGAAAGTCAGAAACTGGGTGCATTTCACCAGGGGAACACATGTTAGAGAGTAGGAGAGAGCAGGCTGTCCCCAGCTTCCTGAGCCCAGAGGCTCCTGAGGACTGAAGGGACAGGTTACAGCAAGTTGGAGTTGGAACCCTCAACTTCTCCAGCCAGCCGGTCCAGCACCCACCAGGTTCCATGGGCCTGCCATGGGCCAGCACCAACCTGATCCCCAATTTCCTCCCTCCCCAGTCCAGCATCTACTGGTCCCCACCAGGTCCCCCATCAGTCTGGCACCAAATAGGGCCCTCCTCCTCCCCCACTAAGTCCCCAGTCCCCCACCCCCTGACCCCCAATTGCTTCCATCTTCTCTGCCAGCCTTGATCCACTTGCCTCACACACAGAACAGTAAATAGCCACCAGACCTGCCCAGTCTAGTGCACACCTTCACTGTTGCCCACAGGTCCCTGCACCTGCCCGCAGGTTTTTGCACAGGACCTTGATTTGCAACTCACAGAATACCTGGGCCCCAGACGTGGCTAGGCCCCAACTTGTACCACATGCTGCTTAGCCACCATATCTGCTGAGTTCAGCCAGCAGCTATATGGCCACCTGTAGGTCTTAGCACCCTCCCACTTGTCCTGAAGCCCAGCCTTGATCCATCCTGCACAGAACAGCTGACAACCCCACATAACGGGAAACTGAAAACCTTTTGAACTCTAATGAAAACAATTGTTCAATTTTTCATTGGAATCCGGTTGCTTTTCCTTTCCTTTTTTTTCACATTTCTACCATTTTTGAAACTAACTGTTTTTTTATGCATCAGTTTATTGAAGACTGGGATGTCTGAATAGTATATTTCAGTTTTGTTTGTGTTCTTCCATTTATACCTTTCTCGTTCAATTTTTAATTAAATATTTATTATATATAAAATTTATTATATTTTCTCTTTCTCTCTTTTCTCTGCTAACCATCTATCTTGATTAGTCCTCTTTCACTCTTCCTATAATTTTTATTTCTATCTTCTCTCCTCCTTCCTCATAAACATCACATCCTAGACCATTCCTGTTCTCTCTTTGTTCACTATCTGAAATTGTAAACCCTTTTGCACACTTTTATTATAGGCAATAACTGAGCACATCATTTCTGTTTTTTGTGACAGAACTGTAGATGTTGTAGTAGAGGCTATTTGGTTTAAGGCTGTATATTTTTGCATTGGTTGTTTTATTATTTTCCCTTAAAGGCAAGGTACTGGAAACTTTCAGGGACAATCTAAGTCTACAGGGTAAAAACTGTAGTACTTCAGATCCGCACTACTAGATGGGTAGACACAACAGCATGAAAAACAAGGGAGCAAATTACCTCAGAAAAACCAAAATGTTCCAATAGAATCCAGTGACACCACAGTGGAATAAATGTCAGAGAAGGAGTTTGGGATGTTCATAGTTAGGGCTGGGGTTGTGACTCAGCGGAAGAGTGCTCACCTCGCATACACGAGACCCTGGATTCAATCCTCAGCACTACATAAAAATAAATAAGTGAAATGAAGGTGTCCAACTATAACTAAAAATAAATATTAAAAGAAAGAGAATGTACATAGTTAAACTGATCTGTGAGGTAAAGGATGATATAAGGAGTGAAATCAGAGATAAAATTCAGGAAGTAAAGATCACTTCAGTAAGGCGGGTGCAGCGGCTCACACCTGTAATTCCAGTGACTCAGGAGGCTGAGCAGGAGGATTGCGAGTTCAACACTGGCTTCATCCACTTGGTGAGGAACTTAGAAACTCAGACCCTGTCTCTAAATAAAATACAAAAAAGGACTGAGGATGTGGTTCAGTGGTCAAGTGCCCTTGGG